CTGAACTGAACTGAAAGTTTAAAATACTATAAAATTTATAATAATTTTGATTTGGTTTACAAGATATCAAAATAGCCAGGTGAAAATGAAAAACAAATAGTGAATAATCTGTATATTTTATTATTGTATACGGTACAATGTAAATATGGTCAAGCAAGATAGCGCTAAGGCCACATTGTAATCCTTAGTGATATTTAATTATTTGGTTAATACAACTATTATATAATTATTCCATAAGATAAGCTTTGGTAAACTGGAATATTAAATAAATTAAAAGTGGGTTGAAATATTTAGGCCACAATGTTTCCCATGCAAGATCTTCCTGACAACTGTATTCAAAATATTTATTCTACTTAGTTAACCTACATTCACTACTTTTCCATGTATTTCTTAGGTTATTTCACTGAATATGTAAATATATCATCTATCTATATATTTATGTATCTTCTGAAATAGTAAAAATACCCTCTAGTCTCTTTTGACCTTTAGTAAAAGGTAGGCCTTAAGTACCCACACACTGAATTAACAATTTCTGATTATCTATTAATTTGAGATTACATGGAAGAACTGCAATTACAGGTACATTGCCTTTATTCAGTTTTAGTTTTTAGCTCAATTTGATTCTGCTACTAAAAGTTGCGGAGAAGCAAATGCTATAAAGAAAAGCTGAATTTCTAGATAAATTCAGCTCTGATTACAGTAATAACAATGATAAAGCATCTTTTAAATATGAAAGGAACTTTGAGGCAATGCTAGTATATTTATGAACAATTTTAAAATGAATTGAAAATGCAATACTATTTCATATATAAATTCCATATGAAAATAAACTTGGAATTTTGAAGAAAAGTAAAAGAAAGGTTTCCCAGTGCTGCCAACTTTTGATGAAACCAGAGTTAAGACAAATATTTGCCACCACTAAGCCCCCAAACTCTGAGACTTTTATTTCATCTTCGGCCTTTCTAATACTTCTCTCTCTCTCCATTTCCTGGTCTTTCCTATGCTTATCCATGTTCCTTAGTCTCTTTCTGCTTTTTGTTCCTTTTTGTTTTCTTTTCACTCAATCAAATTTTCAACTTCACTTCTCTACCCATTCTTATCTCCATACCCTACTCTTTCTCTTTTGAAAAACTACATGATATTGTTCTACAGGAAAAAAAAATTCACATCTGTCTTCCAGTGGTAAAGAAATGTCAACTGTTCTCAACATATATTTTCTTTCATTCTCCTCACTGCTGTGCCACTTCTGATTGTTCTCTAACTCAATTCTGTTACGATATGAAAACTGCTCTCACTAAAGCCACTAAAAGTCCCTTAATTCCCACATGCAAAGAGTTCTTTTCATTCTATCCTATCAGAATATTCATTTTGCTTCAAGGGCTGTATTTGACTTTGTTCTTCTTGAGTATTTTCCTCTGTTTGAGTTTTCAACACAGCTTTCCAACGCCCTCCTGCTTCTTCTATTCACTCTGCTCAGGAGCATTTTTTTGGTCTTTCTTTTTCTCCTTTTGGGTGACCCAGAGCTCTTGGTTGCAAGAAGAATTAAGTCAATTGAATGGAAATTGGCTCTGATGAAGAAATGCTAGGGTGAGTTGAAGAAATCCACTGGATAAATGGGAAGGCACACAAAGAAAGAAATCAGACAGCTGACACCCAAATCATGTTTCAGTTCTGGTTCAGTAAGACCTGTTTATCATCGTAGCTGAACTTAAATGCCACAACGCACACTGACAATGCCACTGTTGTGGACACAGGATTCATTTTCTGGGGTCACAACACTTTTTCCTTGGTTGAGCTGGCAAACAAAATTCTTTCCGTGCACATATGATTTTTGTCTTTATATATGTTCTAAATGCAGTGTGGTGAGCTTGGGTGCTTTGCTTGGTCGCTCAGTCGTGTCCCACTCTTTGCAACCCCATGAACTGCAGCCCGCCAAGCTCCTCTGTTCATGGGGATTTCTCCAGGCAAGAGTACTGGAGTGGGTTGCCAAGCCCTCCTCCAGGGGGTCTTCCCAACTCTGGGACTGAACCCAGGTCTCCTGCATTGCAGGCAGATTCCTTACCAGCTGAGCTACCAGGGGAGCCCTGAGTTTGAATGAAAGTGAAAGTTGTTCAGTCATGTCTGACTCTTTGCGACCCTGTGGATTATACAGTCCATGAAATTCTCCAGGCCAGAATACTGGAAAAGGGTAGCCTTTCCTTTCTCCAGGGGATCTTCCCAACCCAGGGATTGAACCCAGGTCTCCCGCATTGCAGGCGGATTCTTTACCAGCTGAGCTACAAGGGAAGAGTTTGAGTGTCTAACCCTAAATCAAATGCCTCACCAAACCCGCCCCCCACTGCCCCATCCTAAGTTCAACGTGGAGGACAAAGTCATTTTCTAGAATTTTGGCTTCTAGAGTGGACGACAGTTTTTGTTTGCCACCAAAACTCGTGTGGTAAAAAAAAAGAGGATCAGATTTTTCCATCTAATAAATGATATACATCCATTTCTCTCTAATATAACTTCCTCAAGTTTATTTTCATGCCTTCTCTCTTTTTACCTTACTCACACTGGCCAATGGAAAGGTCATATATACTATGTATTTCAGCCACCTCAATGACGCCCAAGTCATTATTTCTATCAATCTTTTGTAGAATCATACTGTGAAGTTTATCTAACTTGACTATCCAGAGGATGTTCTTGCAATAACTAGCTCCTGCATCTGAGTCTTCTATGTCAATTTTTGATGTCCATCTGCCTAGTCACTTAGTTACGCTCTCTCCTTTGCTAATCACTCCTTCATATCTTACACGTCACCAAGTTCCAGTGAAACTGAGCAGGACCCTGTGGGGCCCTCATGAATACAAAAGACTTTCAGTATTTCGCATTTCTTTGTAGGAAAAAAGCTTTAGCTCCTAGACCTTCCCTGAGTTCCTAAGGTCAGATTCAAACAGCTCCTAATTAGGAAAAGGTGGGAATACAGAAGCAAAGAGGAACAGTCAGCAAACAACATTACAGAGATGAAGCAGGGTCCCTGCTCTCCCTCAAGGAACATACAGAACAACATAACTTTAAGTTTTTCTTTAAGGCCTCTATCCAGGTGGAGGATGGTAACTTCAGGCTGAGCACAAGATTCCTGGAACACACCCTGTTACCCCATCACAAACCAATCAGAAGAGAGTCATACATTCTGCAGCCCTCATCCCAAGTTTTGCCTTTAAAAACTCTTCCTCAAAAACCAAGGATGAGTTAGGATTTTAGAACGTAAGCCACATATTCCCCTTGCCTGGCCCTGTACTAAACCTTTCTCTGTTCAAAACTCCCAAACAAACTTTTTGGCTTGTTTGGTCTTTCTATGCATCGGGGACACAAACTTGAGTTCAGCAGTACAAGTGATCTTCATTCTCATTTTATTTTGATCTCTTTGTCTTCCTCATCATTCCTAATGTTATATCACATGAACCAAGAATTTCACATACATTTAGGTCACCTGGTGAATATTTATGAAATTCCTTTTATCAGAGCCCATTCATGATCTACTGAATCAATTTCTTCCGTTATACTTCAGAATCAATATTTTGCACAAAACTCCCCCAGACAATTTTGATGTGTAATCTGGTTTAGGAATCATTGGACAATAGCTACAGCTTCCTAATTATTGTTTATGACGCAAGTTTCTTCTCCCTGCACCCTACTTTCTAAAGGCAAATATTTAACTTCAAAAAATAAGTGATGTTCTCCCTCCTTGTCTAATAAGTTTGAGATTCTTGCCGAATGCTTGCAGAAGGAAGTTGAAGATCTTCACGTGGCATTTCGTTCATTTTATAAACTGGTCCCTTCTAACATTGTTACTTTGTTCTTACATCCATGTTCTACACAAAGAATTTCTTGACCTTACTCTATCAGTCAATTCAGTCGCTTAGTCGTGTCCGACTCTTTACGACCCCATGGACTGCAGCACGCCAGGCTTCCCTATCCATCACCAACTCCCAGAGCTTGTTCAAACTCATGTCCATTGAGTTGGTGATGCCATCTGACTATTTCATCCTCTGTTGTCCCCTTTTCCTTCTGCCTTAAACCTTTCCCAGCATCAGGGTCTTTTCCAACCAGTCAGTTCTTTGCATCAGGTGGCCAAAGTATTGAAGCTTCAACTTCAGAATCAGTCCTTCCAATGAATATTCAGGACTGATTTCATTTAGGATTGACTGGCTTGATCTCCTTGAAGTCCAAAGGACTCTCAAGAGTCTCCTTCAACACCACAGTTCAAAAGCATCAATTCTTCAGTGCTCAGCTTTCTTTACAGTCCAACTCTCACATCCATACTTGACTACTGGAAAAACCATAGCTTTGACTAGATGGACCTTTGTTGTCAAAGTAATGTCTCTGCTTTTTAATATGCTGCCTAGGTTGGTCATAGCTTTTCTTTCAAGGAGCAAGTGTCTTTTAATTTCATGGTTGAAGTCACCATCTGTGGTGATTTTGAAGCCCCAAAAGATAAAGTCTGTCACTGTTTCCATTGTTTCCCCATCTATTTGCCATGAAGTGATGGGACCAGATGCCATGATCTTAGTTTTCTGAATGTTGGGTTTTAAGCCAACATTTTCACTCTGCTCTTTCACTTTCATCAAGATGTTCTTTAGTTTCTCTTTGCTTTCTGCCATAAGGGTGGTGTCATCTGTATATCTGAGGTTATTTAGTATTCACTAAGTTTGCTCATCTTCAGAATGTCTTTCTTCTCTTCTAAATCTTCTCGTTTCTGTGCAAAGTTTTAAATGACATAATGCTTTTCTGTGTTCTAAATCTGCTCACTTCTGAAACAAATTTTAGGTGATGTAATTGCATTATTCTAATATAACTTTTCTACTACTAATTTTCATGTATCATAGTAAGAGTAAATAAAAAATATTCAGGTTAGTATATGCTTTTATTTCAATTGCCCTCAGCGATTCACTTTTAAAAATAAATGATGTCCTTTTTCCATTTACCACATTACATTTCAGATGCCATCTATTAAGGATATGGAAACCAAAAATGCAACAGAGCTGAGAGAGTTCATTCTTACAGGACTTACACATCAACCAGAGTGGCAAATTCCCCTGTTTCTGCTGTTCTTTATGATATATCTCATCACCATCATGGGAAACACTGGTCTGATTGCACTCATCTACAATGACCCTCAACTTCATATCCCGATGTACTTTTTTCTTGGGAACTTGGCCTTTGTGGATACTTGGTTATCATCCACAGTGACCCCCAAGATGTTAGTCAACTTCCTAGGCAAGAGTAAGATGATCTCTCTCTCTGAATGCAAGATACAATTCTTTTCCTTTGCAATCAGTGTAACCACAGAATGTTTTTTGCTGGCAACAATGGCATATGATCGCTATGTAGCCATTTGCAAACCATTACTTTATCCAGTGATTATGACCAATAGACTATGCATGCAGCTGCTGGTCTCATCATTTATAGGTGGCCTTCTTCATGCCTTAATTCATACAGGTTTTCTATTCAGATTAACCTTCTGTAACTCTAACATAATACTTCATTTTTACTGTGATGTCATGCCACTGATTAAAATTTCTTGTACTGATCCTTCTATTAATGTTCTAATGATATTTATTTTCTCTGGCTCAATACAGGTGTTCACCATTCTGATAGTTCTTGTCTCATACACACTTGTTCTCTTTACAATATTAAAAAGGAAATCTTTGCAAGGCATAAGGAAGGCCTTCTCCACCTGTGGGGCCCACCTCCTGTCTGTCTCTTTATACTATGGGCCTCTTCTCTTCATGTATGTGCGCCCTGGATCCACACGAGCAAATGATCAAGATATGATGGACTCTTTATTTTACACTGTCATAATTCCTTTCTTAAATCCAATTATTTACAGCCTGAGAAATAAGAAAGTTATAGATTCTCTGACAAAAATGTTAAAGAGAGATGGTTGTATCATAGTTTTATCGGTATTCTTTTCACTTAAATATTGACAATATTATATATTTTAGATGTTGCTATGTGATAGTGTTCAGTTTTTTTGGATGTATAATTGTTTTATTATTTTAGTGACTTAAGACATTAGTAACTAATAAGTCCCATAAAATAGATTTATATTCTTATTTAAAAACATATAAAAATTTTAATCCTCTTGATAGAATACTAAAATAAAGCAAAAAACCCCAAGTATTTTCTATGCCTGTATGTTCTTCAATGTGGTTTTAAAATGCATTAAATATTAAAACAGAGCTGTTCCTCTGAAGGAGACTTGTTTATGATGTCTTTGACACTTATAAGTCAATCACATTTAACTTCAAAGTGGAGGCGGGTTGGTATTTGAATGAAGAGAGGCAAACCCTAGGAATTCTGCTGGCCATCAAAAGGTCTTGCATTCCACTTTATTTGGTGCATGGTAACTTTCACTTCTCATGGGAATCAACTCTCACATCACAGAAAGAAATGAGAAAGCAATGAGAAAAAAAATGACAGGGGATCTAAGATAATGAAGACAAAGAGCTATACTATGAGAAATGTTTTTACCTTCCTGGGCTCCGAGAGAGACAAAAGGCAAGTTATCGCTCACTGTCTATGATGATTTCTAAAGTCCTTTCTAGCTGTGTATGTACTTGTAGGTCAATCTGGAAAACTTTTCTAAGAAGGTTAATAGATAAACTGAAAGTTTAGGATGGGTATGAATGAAGAGGCAGAATAGGAAAATAATGGGCAATATTCCTAGAGTTTTTTTTAAAAAGTGAAATTAATTAGAAAAAGAAATAGTCACATGTAAAAAAGTTATTGGAATGTGTGGATGGCAATGAGAAGTTTTGCATACTAACATGCATACTAACAAAGTTCAAATGATGTCAAGATATGATACCATACTGCCCAGTGAGTGGCTAGGAAAGACATGAACAAGGGTTTGGATGTGTGTGCTCCAGATGATCATTTTCACTCCATACTCTAAGACTAACGAGTGATTCACCGTCAGGTCCACCCCTTGTCTCCCTCTCACTATTGATTCTAGGTACATCCTTGCAGATACCACTGTGGCCCTCACCTTCATAACCATCTACCTCTAAAACTCTAATTACTTATTGCCTCCATTCTGCTGATTCTCTCTTATGTCCCAAACACATCTGCCAGATTTTTCTTTGTAAAAAGAACTGAGATTAAATCACATAACTCTTCAAGGATTTTTAATGGGCTCTCATTATTACTGAGTTTTCCAAATTTGCTGACATACTGAGTGCAACACTTTAACATCGTATTAGGTTGTCATCAAGGGAATCATGGTGCTCTCAGGGGAATTTTATTTTATTGCTCTTTCCCCTTCTGGCAAATGCACATCATTAAAATGTATACAAGCAGCATTTTCCTGAGCCTGGAAAATTAAGCCTCCAAAGTGAATCCGTGGGAAGAACTATCACCCCTGTTACCGTCTTCTGGGGCTCTTGTATTATTTTTTGCTTCTGAAAGCCAAACTCTCAAAGAATCTCAACAATTTCTCAACAGCTATAGGTAAGAGAGGATGACTTATAATATTCACTTTTAATAGAAATTTAAAATACTTTAAAATTTATAATAATTTTGATTTGGTTTCTAAGATACCTGAACAGTCATTTGAAAATTGAAAGTAAATAGTGAATAATCTGTTATTTTACTATTGTGAGTAAATATGAATAAGCAGAATAGCTCTAAGGCTACATTTTACCATTTAATCATACTTAATTATCTGCTTAACATAATCACAAGACTCCACAGGATAAGAGTTGGTAAACTAGAACGTTAAATTAAAAGTTGATTTAAATATTTAGATCACAATGTTTCCTGTGTAAGTAATCTTTCTGATAATTGTGTTCAAAATATTTATTCCATTTAACTAACTATACTGGTGGATTAAATTTCAAGTTATATCACCTAAATAGTAACCCCTCTATCCTTTCATCCACTCCTTAATTATTTCATTGAGTCTATCTGTGTACATATATATGCAAAAGTGCTGGAAATGGCCCTCAATCATTTTGACTTTTATTACTTCATAAGTACCCATACACTGAATTGAGAATTTTTCACTATTTACTGATTTGGGACTGAATGGAATGTCTATTTCAAATAAATACACAGTTAACAGTTGCAGTTATTGGCATTGGTTATTTATATGACCGTTATTCAGTTCCAGTCTTTGGCTCAATTTTATTCTGCTAATAAAAACTGTGGATAAACAAATGCTGTGACAGAAAACCAGAAGGATTTCTAGAGAAAGTCAGCTCTAATCTCAGTAATAGCAAAGGTAAAGGATCTTTCAAACATGAAGTTTGATGCTGTTTAGTTTATTTATAGACAATATAAATTTCTGAAGTAAATTTATTTAAATTAAACACTGTCATACACAAATTCTGTAGGAATAAAAACTTGGATATTTGAAGGAAAGAAAAAGGAAAGTTTCCCAGCGTTGAAAAATTTCAAGGAAAACCAGGGTTAATATAAACATAAGGCCCCCAAACCGTTGAGACTTTCCCCTTATTTCATCTTCAGCCTTTCTTTGATACTTCCTCTCCCTCTTCATTTCCTTCTCTTTTCTACACTTACCCATCTACATTCCTTACTCTCTTTCTGCTTTTTGTGGTTTCATGTTTTCTTCCCACCCACCTACACGTCTCATTCTACTTCCCTACCCACTCTCATCTCAATGCCCTCCTCTATCTCTTTTGAAAATTCTCGTGACATTTTTCTACAAGGAAAAAAAAATCTTATCTGTTCTTCACATCTCAGATACTCCGTTTCATTCTTCTCACTGCTGTGCCATTTGCTCCATTCACTTTCCAGTGTTTTTTGATTCAGTTCTATGACAAAATGGAAACTGCTCTCACTAAAGCCACTAAAAATCTCTTAATTTCCAGATTCAACTATCTCTGTTCACTCCTTATCTTAACAAGAGCAGTTATTTCACTTTTGGCGCTCTACGTTCCTTTGTGCTTTTAAAGTATTTTCCTCTCTTAAGTTCCCTACACTCAGCTTTCCAACTCCTTCCCTCTTCTCTGATCAGTCTGCTCAGCAGCCTTTCCTGGTCTTTCCTTTTCTCTTTTTTGGGTGAGCCAGTACTCTTGGTTCCAAGAGGAAAACAGTTAATTGAATGAAAACTGAATCCAACAAAGAAATGCTAGGAAAGTTGGAGAAACCCTCTGGAGATATGGGTAGTCAACATGCCAAATCATGTTCTAGCTCTAGCTCAATAGCCCTGTTATCATTGTTGCTGAACTTAAATACTACAAATCACACTGAAGATGCCATTGTGATGGGCACAGGATTCATTTTCTAGGGATGTGATACTGTTCCCTTGATTGAGTTGGCAACCAAAATTCTCTTCGGCACACATCAAGTCTTTGTCATTCTCTCTATATATTCCAAACTCAGTGTATGTGCAGTAGTGTTACTAGCAGTAGATCAAGCCCCCTTACATTAGGTTCAAGGAAAAGTCAGTTTCTAGAAGTTTGGTTTCTAGACTTATTAGGTAGAAAATAGGATCAGGTGTTATGTATCTAAAATTATGTATATACCTATACACACACACACACACACACACACACACACATATCCACTTTTAAATCTCTTTAAATTTCCTCAAATTTATTTTCATGCTTTATTTCCCTTTACCTTGTATACATTTTCCAATGGATAGATCATACTATATTTTAGCCACTTCTATGACTCCCTAGTCATTACTTTTTATTTTTATTAAGCTTTTGTAGAATTATATGCCTGGGTGTTCAGAGGACGCTCCTTGCAAAAACTGGCCATTTCATCTGAGCTTTCAACATCAATTTTTGAAAACCATCGGTGAGTTAGGATTTTTTGAGCTGAAGCCACCCATTCTCTTTGCTAGTCCCTGCATTATACCTCTCTCTACTCCAAACTCAGATATTTTGGTTTGTTTGACCTCACAGTACATCAGGGACACAAACTTGCATTCAGCAATACAAATGAGTCTTCATTCTGATTTATTTTGATCTCTCACTTTGTCTTCTTTGTCACTCCTAATGTCATATCACACATGAATTAAGAACTTCACATACATTTAAATCACCTGGGGAATATTTTTACAATACATATTATCAGACTCCATTCAAGATCTACTGATCCGATGTCTACAGTAATGCTTCAGAATCTATAATTTTCACAAAATTTCCCTCAGACAATTCTGATGTCTAATCTAGTTTGGGAGTCACTGGACAATAGTCACAACTTCCTGATTAGTATTTATGACACAAGTTTTTCTCCTTGCAGTCTATTTTCTGCAATCAAATATTTAATTTTAAAAATAACTAATGTTGCCACTTCCTGTTTTATATGTTTTCATTTCTTGCTTATTTCTTAAAGAATATAGCTCAAGATCACTCATAAGGCATTGAATTCATTTTATAAACTGGGTCCTTCTAACATCTGTACTTAGATGCTGCATCCATGTCCTACACATAGAATTTCTTGACCTCATCCTATAGTATTCCCTAATTTTGCTCATCTCCAGAAAGTCTTTATTCTCTTCTAAATCTGCTCATTTCTGTACAAATTTTTAAATGTTGTAATTGAACTGTTTTAACATAACTTACACAAGTAATTTTTATGTACTATAGTAAGATTATTAAAGAGCATTTAGATAGTATATGGTTTATTTCAATTACCTTCAACAAATATTAGTTTTAAAATTCTTAAAAAAAAATTCTTGATAACTTTTTTTTCCATTTACTGCACTTGTTTCAGAGGCTATCTATCAAGGATAGACGGAGCTCATCCTCATCAGACGGAGTTCATCCTCACAGGTCTTACACATCAACCAGAGTGGCAAATCCCCCTGTTCCTTCTGCTCTTGATGATTTATCTCATCACCATCATGGGGAACCTTGGTCTGATTGCTCTCATCTGCAATGACCCTCACCTTCACATCCCCATGTACTTATTCCTTGGGAGTTTAGCATTTGTGGATGCCTGGGTATCA